TACAAACAAATCATTTTCAGCTCTGGGGCACTATCAGCGGATGTCAAGCTATTAGTTTGTTTATGCGATTCTTTTTTTTTCCCGGGAATTTTCCCAAACATATTTTTCCTGGAGTTCATACCCCTTCATGTTTCGTACCTGAGGCTCATTTTTTACGTTACTCGAAAATTGAAGGTAGGGCAAACACGGTCTGGATTTGGTACAGTTTTTCTGCGGAACATCCATTTTGCACAGCTGTTTTTATTAAAGTAATTTATGGATCAGTGTAATTTACAGGTTTACTGGTGCTATCAGCATTACTCTTGTTGACCTATGCAGCATGGCTGGTTGTTACCATTTCATTCCACTTGAAGATATACCTCGATTGGCGCGCATTTCACGAAGTAATAATTAGATATAATAATTGCTTCAAACTTCCGGAAGTCTCGACCCGGACATGCCATCATAGTGTGGAAGTGGCAGCTGGCTAAGCAGTGCCCAGTCCGGGCAGGATACCAAGCGGAAGCTGTCACCTCGCTACTCCCAGGGTAAAAACAACAAACAGCATATGTGAGAGGTGTACTGGTAAAAGCTAAAAAACGGACACTGTTTGTGAAGAGAACGATGTAACAATAAGCACTTGGACTGGTGCTTTTTGTGACTATATAAGCAATCAGAAACCCGATGTGGGACAAGAGGTAAAAGGCGGAAATTGATCACGACCGTGCGAGAAAGTAAAATTCGATGGGCATCACATATTTCTCATCTTCCTCAGAACCAATGGGTGTAATGCTTCAGTTAATTGTAAAGACCAAAGAAGTAAAAAGGTTCTTTCTAATAACGAAATATGAAAACAACTTTCTCTGTACAACCGGCTGATTTTGAGGAACTGATCTGCTGACCTGGCTCTGTCGATACCCTTGCTTGTCGATGAATTCGTTGCCGAGCCTTAATGAGAACCGTTTCCAAACTCACAATATTATCCAAACTTAAGTTTCTATTCAAATTTTTTCCAGGAGGTGTTTGTGGTAGATCAGCAGTCACTCCATGGCTCGCCAAGACCTACCAACGGGGCTACAAGGCAGCAAAGAAGGCGCCAAATATTCGCGGCAAGTCTTTTTTTCCTAGTTATCCAATAGAACTGGTGGATCAAAAATCGCTGCTGTGTGAAGTTGTGCCGACAGCTGCGGAAACATTGCTTTCAGGAATTTTCCAGCATCTGGGGATAGCAAAACATATCCCAGAATATCCTGACTCATCTAGTTCTTTTAACCCGCTTGTTATTGCCTATTTCTCCTTTTACTTACATTTGTTTCGGTCGCAGTATGGTCGATCAGCTGGTCACCTTGGCGTCCGTTCACTTAATTTCAAGAAATTATATTTTGCAGATGCGTCTGTTGTGCTTCGATTTTCGTTCCTTTTTACGCGATTTATGCAGTAAAAATATAGGTACTGCAAGTTCGGTAAATAATCCATACTCAGGTAATTTTTCTAGCTACATTTTGCGTGGTTATGGAATGGCTTGGAAGATCGTACTCATACCCCAAATCGAACTTAGCTAATTTTCTGAAAATTCTCCACTGAAAAGGCATATCCTAATAAGTGATTTTTGACCTTTTGAGCCGAAAATGAGCGTCCCCATCGTTTTTGGTGTTTGAGAATATCTCAGTTACTTTGGCAATTTGATTCTAAGCGGTACTTCCCTCCCGCAGACCATCGTCAAATAGTTCGCGCCATATTGATTTTCCCACAGTGTTTTTTGTTGAAGCTTTTTTCTTGTAAAATCTGTGTATAATGTCGTTGTGATGATGAGGTGCACTTCGAATTGTTGCATTGGTAGCTTTGCTTCAAAAATCGGAAGCAGCTCCCGGTTTCTAGGACTAAATTCTCAAAAATTTTCCTCGTTAACTGTTCTGTCTTCTCTTTTTCTTTTATGACCAAAAAACTACAGTTTTCATCGGCGTGCAGTTTTCCTGCAACGGAGGAAAGGAAAAGGAGAGGGGAGCGAGTAAAAGAAACAGGCGTACTTCCTGAATGCTTGACTTTGGTTTTATAGTTATTTTTTGGCAAAGTAAACTTATCTTGCTTGACTTTAAGCAATACAGTTTCGCCGCTGTGGTCCTTTCACTCATCGAAGTAACTGGTAGTTTTTCTGTTTTGCTCTGCACTCTGCTCGTTTCTTCTATCATCAAAAAATAAGCACTTTTTACACTTCCGAAGAATATTTGAAGAATCAATAAAAATTTTTTTTAATATAAGAATCTATATAAGGTTTATATAAGAATCTGTATAAGGTTCATATAAGAATCTATAAAAAAATTTTTTTAATATAAGAATCTATACAAGGTTCCTATAAAATATATAAGAATCTATATAAGGTTAGGAACCATATAAGAAAATGCACCCATTCGGCATGCTGAAAAAACATATATTGTGCACAAAATGGTCTTCTGTGCACAAAGTAAATCTAACCCAAGAATGTTAAAGTTGTTTTTGAAAACACTGAGTTGGTATCCCGTAAATAAGTAGCTGCCAGTTTATTCATGCGGTCTTGGTTGTTCAGGTGGTTCTGCGATACACGAAAGGCGCCCGAGTACTATTTCAAGCAGAACATTGGACATCAATTACAATGAATTTGTGCGGCATTTGCAGCCCAGAGAGGAAGCTATCTCTGCAACCAGCTCATCCCGCTACATACTCGCATCCACACCGATACCCAGCGAAACACCGGCGCATGTGCCAATCTTCGATTATCCGACTGTGAAGCGAAAAAGGACTGAGAATTTTCCATTACAAAATAGCTTTTGCAACAGAAATAGCAATATACCAGCACCAAGTTCTGTTAGTAGCGTGTGATAACAATCTTTTAAATTCAGAATTTTCGGTAACACTGGAGTTTGCCTTTCGCCGATGGGATAACAAATCCTTTTATAATACTTTTATTTCTTTCGAGTGGTAGACTGTGCTGCGCATGTCAGGAAACGAAACCTTTTTCTCTAATTTGGAAATTATAGGGATACAGTCTACATCCGTGACTAGGGGATTGGAGAAGGAAGGAGGACTTCAAATCATTTGTGCATTAACATAACTTTTTCATTATTTTTAGTGACCCATCGGCAGCCTTGCCAATTTTTACTGTTAATTTTCTGCTGCCAATTTAGTCACTTGCAAGTTGTCCCTTACATTTTTTACTGAAGAGAAGAATGGGAGAAGGGGTAATTTCGATTTTGACTTTTAATCTTCCGAAACAGTTTGCAGTGCCTTAAAGAGCTGGTTACAAGCACAGTGTAAGCAGGAAACAAATGAAAGAACGAAATGTAACGAAGACACGAAAAATTATAAATTTGCTTTTGCGTGAACTGGCTTGGGCAACTTACATGCCGTGGAGTGAGCGGGCTTGAACAAGGCACGAAATGTCTCATGCAAAATCACTGTGTTTGTAAATTTTCTCTTTTAATTGTCGGTTGGAATATCTCAGGAATTTTCAAAGCTTTCTCAGGCTGCTAATGTGATTTTTCTTTTTTTAATTGATGGTACCGTACAACTTTGTAATACACTTTCGCCTATCGTGAATACCAGAATTGAGGTTAAGAAATGCGAACTTGATTTATATGTTTTTTCAGTGTTTCTTTTGGTGCTAACGTTCATTTTATCAGAATGACCACTATCTACCCTAATACTCATCGTGCTTTCGGATCAAATTTTATTTTTCGTTAATATCACTCTCAGCCAATTCACTTATCGCCAACAACTGATATCATTTTCTGTGTTGTTATTACTGTTAGCGTTCGATTAATTAATACGTTCGTTTTCATTTTACCCGTTATCAGTTAACAAATAAAGATTTTATCCGGGAAACGTCTCACGAATATGTACTTAGAGGTGCGTTTAGTGGAAGATTTGCCCACCAGATCAGTCCGGACTGCATCAAAAAGAATGTGACAAGACAATGAAACATTACGTAATGTTAACGTGGCGTAAAATGCTGTGGTGTGGCACAGTGTAATATAACATGGGTAGCGCGTGAATTCGTGAACTCAAGCAATACGCCATAACACGTCGCGATGTGATCGAGTGTTTCTATCTTTTCTCAGGAACCAAATATATCTACAAAATTTCATACCCAGATGAAGGTGAACGTTGATTTTAAGCTATTTGAGTGGTGCATGAGCTGGGAGTGGTCCATATTTGAGTGGTCCATCTTCCTTGTTTTGCGATTCCAGGGTTGAATATGGGTGATAGAAATCTGAACAAACACGCACAGGCGCAGACACACACCGACAAACTCGACAATGTGCGTTTTTGCATTTGCATAAATATGCATGTTAGCGTATGTGAAAAATATCTGAAGGTATAAGTGGAGAAGGCTGGTTTTGACGAAAGCATTTTTTCTCTTTTTTTGACAAACAACTGCTGCATCTTTTTAAAGGATCTTGACAGTATCACTATTATTGCTATCATCAGCATATTCGTTTTTATTATTACCATTATTGTTATCGTCATTATTATCATTATCATCATCATTGTTATTATTCAGAAAGAGCTAGGATTGTAAGAAAACTGCAAAACAATAAACCGGATTCAAAACGCATGTTTTGGAATTTTAATGCAACTAATACAGGCGAATTCAAAACACCAGCCGATCTGACGAAAGAGCGAACTGCAAATGATCTTTGAAAAAGAACTTGCAATTGACCAGTCGGAGTGCAAGAGGGTCAGTGGATCTACGATGTCTACGTCACACAACACATTCAGGATTTCAGTGTTTCCGATCAAAAAGGACTCAATTTATGTGCCAATGAAAGAGAATGGTGGGCTATTTGAAATAAATCCTCTCTCCTCTTTCGTCATGAAGTGTGATACATCCATTTGGCTGTGTCTTCTGCCTTTTTTGTTGCAGTTTCTATTATCAGCTTTCAATCACTCCTTTTTCTCCAATTTTTCACAGACCTTTTGCAGAATTTTTTTCATGCGCTGATATCTTTTTCCTCTTCTTCTCACTCGTCTTTTCTCTAATCTAAGTTTACGCAAAATCATACATGCTCATATG